GGCGGCTGAGGTAGGAGAATTGCGTGAACCTGGGAGGAGGAAGTTGCAGTGAGCCAAGATCATGCCACTGCACTCCAGCTTGAGTGACAGAGTGAGACTGTCTCAGAAAAAAAAAAAAAAACCAACAAAAGATATTTCTCAGATTAAAAAAAAAAAATCACAGTGATTTCTAGGTATAATAAATATAAAATCTGTACCTAGAAAAACTAGCCTCTGTCACCTGCAGGGACACTCCAGATGAGTTCCTGGAAAATCTAAAGTAACTGGAAGACCATGAAGAGGGGAAGACACGATCGCCCCTGTGGCTCCTACTTAACTTTAGGACATTATTGTTTCTTATTCCCGCCTCAATTGACAAGGCCATTGGATTTTGTAACTGACTTTGGCTAACCTTGAGACCCCACACCCTACAACCCCCTTCCAGCTTGCAGAAAACCGACCTAAAGTTACTTCAGTAACCTTCCATTGTTTACCCCAAACCTATAAAACCTACTCCTATCCTCCTGCCCTCACTGACGCCCTTTTTGGTCTCAGCCTGCCCACACCCAGGTGAAGAAACAGCCATGTTGCTCACACAAAGCCTGTTGGGGGGGATCTCTTCATTCAGAATGCTCATTTTAGTATTTCAGGATGGGGGAACTCCTACGGGAGACCAAAGCCCCTGTCCCTGTCCCTCCTCCATGAAGAGACCTACTTAAGCCCGGGGCTCATCGGACCAGCCTGCACTTCCACTCGCCACCCTCTGATCAGGAACTGGTTTGCCTCAACTCTTCTCTAGCTCTTCTACCTGTCAGCTTCCTTCTTTCAGTTTCACTGTCCTCTCCCTTTCACTGGAGATGAGGAGGACAGGGCTTTCCGTGAGGTTCATGACTGGAAAAAATCCTACGTAGGTCATAGAACCAGGAAGACAGTCTTCCCTCAGTGACTGATCATTGCAGAGACATCTGCCCTGGTCACTTGCTCGCACTCATAGGTGATGGATCAACACAGGGGACACCCCCTTTGACCGATTCACCCCAGGTTCAGACCAAGGTTCAGTCTGGGACGCCTGCTAAGCTGCTTGGTCGCGCATTGACTTTTTGTCTCCGCCGCTCTTAAACTATAGACAGTCTCCGGCCCCCCGTTCCTCCCTCCTCTCCCTTAGCCTGCGTTCTGAAAAACCTCAAACCTCTGCAGCTATCACCTGACCTAAAACCTAAGGGTCTTATTTTCCTTTCTAATACCTCTTGGCCACAATATAAATTGGACAATGGCTCTAAATGGCCCCAATTTTTTCTATCCTGTAGGATCTATACAACTTTTGTCACAAAATGGGCAAATGGTCTGAAATTCCCTACGTCCAGGCATTTTTTTTTTTTTTTTACATACCAATCCCTCCCTAATCTCTGCTCTTCTCTCCCTTCCATCTGCCCCTCCTGCCTCTGCTGGTGACCCAGAATCCTCCTTGTTCATCGACTCTTCTGACACTTCTCTTCTCCGCCTGTCTGAACCAGGCCCTAATCCAGGACCCAACGCCCACCCAGAGCCTTCCTCCTCTTCCTCTGCCCACAACCCACCTCCTTATGCCACTCCTGTCACCTCCCGGCCTCATACCTGGTCTGGCCCAACAATTCCCCCTTCAAGAGGTAGCTGGAGCCAAAGGCATAGTTAGGGTACATGTTCCTTTCTTTTTATCAGACCTTTCCCAAATTAGCCAACGGTTAGGCTCCTTTTTATCAGGTCCTACTAAATATATACAAGAGTTCCAATACTTAACCCAGTCCTATAACCTGACCTGGAGTGACTTAAATGTCATCCTACTTCCACTCTCTCACCCCTGAATGCTTAATATGCATTTTATTACCCAATCAGCCCGACATTAAAAAAGTTACAGAACTTAGAGCCTAGCCCTCAAACCCCACAAAAGGAATAATCAACCTCACCTTTAAGGTGTTTAATAACCGAGAAGAAGCTGCCAAGCTGGCAGCTTATTTCAGAATTACAAATGCTTGCCTCTTTTTTCAAGCAAAGAACATGGGGGAAAACCAAATGACCATGTTCTAAGGGAGTCTAAGCAAATAACAAAGATTTTTGATGTTATACACAGCATGCTCTCTGACCACAGTGCATTAACATTAGATAATAATCACAAGATAACAAAACATCTTTCACTATTTTCAGATAAGAAAATACTTCTAAATATTTCGGCATAAAAAATCCTAATTGAAATTGAAAATTACTTAGAAGTGAATGGCAATGAAAATACTGTATGTAAATATTTGTTGGATGCAGCTAAAGCAATATTAGCAGGCAATTTCATAGTGTTTTAGGCATGCATTAGAAAAAAGATTAAAAATTTATGAGCTAAGTATTTAATAAATTATAAAAAGAACAAAAAGTGTATCTAAAGAGATCATAAGATGGCAAATAATAAAGAACATGAAGGAATTAAATAGAAAGATATCATGCAGATGATCAAAATAAGGAGAAACCAAATATCAAGAAGGGAAAACAGATACATAAACACAAATCCACTCAAAATTGAAAAAGAATAAGGGCCTACCATATGAATGATATGAAGCCAACATTATTTGAAAAATGCTGACAGTGATGACTCACACAGCAGAAAGAGTGAGTGTGAGATGAGAGAAGTGGGGTGGTAGCTGGCAAGGGGCCAATGAGCACTGACAAACCATCACTCCAGCATGGGTGCCAGAGGTTTCAGACTCCTAGCATCATAGTTTTAACTTTTCAAAGCACTTCATATCCATTGTCTCATCTTATTTCAAGAAGCAGCCAATTAAGTAAAGGCTGCTACCCACTTAAAATCTTAGTAACAGCTTTTCTAGTTCCTTAACAGGGAGAAACAAACCACTTACACAAAGACTGAGCCAAAGTGGAAAATGTTTGCTGCTATCACATCAACAAAAAATAGAGGAAGAAAACTGCTAAAGACACTGGACATCAAAACTTTGGGTAAATAACTTAAAGTACCATCCCTTTTTTCAAAACTGTTTTAGCTGTGATGTTCCTGAGTTATCTGAGCCTCACTCACTTGAGTGGAATGGGCTGCTCAGAGTCAGGAGCACAGGGAAGTTGGCTGGGGAAAATCTGGAAAAAGAGCATAACAAAGGTCAAAGCCGTCAGACCTAGTCTAGTTTCCTACAGGATTGAAAATGACCAATTATTCTCAAGTTTCTGCTATTGGCAACCAATGTCTTCCATCTGAAACCGATTCCTCCTTTTTTAAAAAAGGTAATGCACAAAAAGGAGGCAAACTATTTGAAATTCGGATCATTTTGCATCCCAACAGCAAATAAAAGTCATCAATAGAACTCACTCTTAGCCTTGAGCAATATTTTCTAAAACAAAACACAAAGAACCTGTGGTACTTAACTATTCTGTTATTGATTTACTGTGGTTTGCAAGGTAATGTTGAAGAAAATTAAATGTACAGAAGCCTGAAATGCATTTTCCATGGTGGTGAGTGGTGTGACCTGTGTTTTCCAAGGTGGTGTCGCTGGTCACACACAGAATGAATGACTGAAGGAGCACACCTTAGTTACAAATAAGCTGGCCACCTTCACTGCAGAGCCTCACGAAACCAGAGTATTTCCACTGTTAAGAAAGACAAGTTAGCCGGGCGCGGTGGCTCACGTCTGTAATCCCAGCACTTTGGGAGGCCGAGGCGGGTGGATCACGAGGTCAAGAGAACGAGACCATCCTGGTCAACATGGTGAAACCCCGTCTCTACTAAAAATACAAAACATTAGCTGGGCATGGTGGTGCGTGCCTGTAATCCCAGCTACTCAGGAGGCTGAGGCAGGAGAATTGCCTGAACCCAGGAGGCGGAGGTTGCGATGAGCCGAGATCGCGCCATTGCACTCCAGCCTGGGTAACATGAGTGAAACTCCGTCTCAAAAAAAAAAAAAAAAAAAAAAAAAAGGAGGAGCAAGGATAGCAGCAAGAAATGACATCTACTGGCAAAACTACACAACAAAAACCAGTCTAGGGTTAACCAGCCTAAGGCCACATGGCCCTATCTGTGTCAGTATCAGGAGATACTGGTATAGAACATGCCAAACAATGTCCATAATAATGAGCTTAAGAATTTTTTATTTTTTTAGAGACGAGGTCTCACAGTGTTGCCTAGACTGGAGTGCAGTGGCTAGTCAGACATAATCACTATGCATTACACCCTTGATGCTCTTGCTTCAGTATCCCGAGTAGCAGGAAGTAAAAATTTTTCTTTAATTAAATCCTGCTGGTCTCGGTGACTCACGCCTGTAATCCCAGCACTTTGGGAGGCGGGCGGATCACGAGGTCAGGGCATAGACACCAGTGAGCTGAGACTGAGCTACTGCATGCTAGCCTGGGCGACAGAGCGAGACTCCTTTAAAAAAAAAAAAAAAAATTAAGTCCTGATGCATGTAATCTGTTTAAGAGGATAGAGAAGTGTTACAATATATTTAAGCCTCATTGCCCGGGCGTGGTGGCTCAAGCCTGTAATCCCAGCACTTTGGGAGGCCGAGGCAGGCAGATCACGAGGTCAAGAGAACGAGACCATCTGGCCAACGTGGTGAAACCCTGTCTCTACTAAAAATACAAAAATTAGCTGGGCGTGGTGGCATGCGCCTGTAGTCCCAGGTACTTGGGAGGGTGAGGCAGGAGAATTGCCTGAACCCAGGAGGCGGAAGTTGCAGTGAGCCAAGATTGTGTCACTGCACTCCAGCCTGGCGCCTGGCGACAGAGTGAAACTCTGTCTCAAAACAAAACAAAAACATTTAAGTCTCTCCTTGTAATCTTCTAAAATTTGATTCATAAAGCATACGGTACAGTTATCTGAATAATTTTCTTACATGGAGTGCCTCATCCACCTATGATGTTGCCATGTGAGTTTTAGAAAATCCATATTAAATACAATGAAGACTCTCACTTTGCCCACTTCTGTAAAGTTCGCCATGAAGCACCATGTGATCTCACAGCGACAGATGAGCCTGCCGATCCTCTGAATTCAGTAAAGACATATGGGGCCACTGTGGGCCCAAGTTTACCTTGGCTTCTTTGCAGAGAGTTTGATTACTTTTAAGATTTATGGTCAAAGCGGGGGGGAAAAGAAATCCTCACAGAGCAGATTTATAACTTCATCTTGATTTTTAATACCATTAGGAATGACATCCTCTGACATAATCTTGGAATGACTGCAGGGTGACTCAAACTCAGTGGAAAGTTTTATATTTTAGGGTCTGGAGCATTTTGTAGCTGCAAGGTCGGGTAGGAAAGGACCAGGGAAATGAGCCAGAGAGACGGTCAGAGAGTGAGTGTCAGCTGGTTTAATTTTCTGTGTCAACTCCGAAAATTAGATAAACAATGACAAACCAGGCTTTTTAAATGAACTTGTCACTTCTGGTTTTCTTGATACAGAGCAACATTTTTCAAGTCCTGGTAGCCCCAAAGACAGATTTAACCCCTGAGAGGTTTATCCAAGTGTTTCAAAGTCCTCACATCTGAAAACAAAAGGCTTGGTCCAACCCTACACCCCTTAAAAGAAAAACTAATTATCCTTGAAATTTAAATACTCTTCTCATAACAATTAAGGCGACTTCGCCTACAGCCAGAAGGTCCAGTCTTTTGCAGGAGGGTCTTAGCAATGTCCTAGTTTTTTCTTTCCACCAGACCAACTCAAATCTTCAACACAGTTTCTTTGATCTTAACCTCCTTTTGCAAACATGACCTCCCACAACTGTTCTAAGCAATACTGTCCACACTGAGCAGCTACTGGCTCTCTCCTCCACAATGCAGGTGAGCAGAGACCTGGCCCTGGCCCTCCTCTGCCTGCTGCTTTGTCATTATGAAGAGGTGGAAGGTAAGAATTGTCCTGACTTATATATGCTTTATGCTATTTTTTAAGTCTGTGTTACGGCCATGACATTCTCCCTGTGAGGGGAACAGATCAGCGTATTTTTCTAACAGCTGTCCGCATTGCCCTTGCTATAAGGATATTTAAAGACAATCCAGGTTGAGTATGTTGATTTGGAGAGAGAAATGCGCATGTTTACTGACACCAGCATTTCAGTAGGGTTTTCTTTCTACAACTGGCTTTTGAGCTCATTATCTTATTTCAGTGTCCCCACAACAAATGGCTGGAGGGCATTACTGTTACTTCAATTTGTGGATTTGGCCAAGGCAGAATTGGGATTTGCACTGGACGTCAGCTCCCAAACCTGTGCCTTTTGTGACTACGTGCAATGTAACAGCAGCCAGTTGTGAGCACTTACCCTGTGCCAGCTGCTCATTAGGTGCTTTCATTTACATTAGTTCACATGATCTCCAAAAGCCCTATCAGAAAGCAAATGATAACCTATTTTTATAAACAAAGACACTGCATTCTAAGGTGTAATGACGCCTGAGCCCAAGTTTCTTGAGGTTCTTGGCCTTCACAGGTCAGTCTTTCCCCACAGTCTACGAGTGGTCAAAACAGGCCCCTGCATAACAAAGTCACAGAGTCTTGCCTAGAGAAAATACGAAACAGGTGATTTGAAGCACCTTTGATCCTGCAGTCTCTGCCTCATCCCCCAACTCCAGTGCCCCTTTTCCTGTTTACGCACAAGAGTCTCCTCTTCAAAGCTTCAAAATCATCTGATGCCAGCTAATTGCTGACATTAAGCCAACTCACAGGAAAGTATGAATAACTTAAGAAGGGCACTAGGGCCATGTGCATTTGAAGAAGATGCTTGGCTCCGGCCCAGCAGTAGCTCAGATGTCTCACAGGTGGACTATTCATGGCGTGAGGGGCTCTCTCTGGGTAGCCAGGTAATAATTTACCTGTGGTTTCCAGGAGTCCTGTGGATTTCATTCTCTGCAACACGGCTTATTCCCCCTAGCTCTGGGAACTCTGTCTTCTGTAAAATATGGAGAACAGCATCGACCTCACAGGAAGACTGTGTGTGTGTGAAATTCCTAGCCCAGAGGCAGCTCCATGGTCATGACTATCAACGGCCTAAATTTCCCAGTACTTATCATACTCCTTTTCTGAGGAAACTTCTTTTATAACAACACATGTTCAGGGCTAAGTGTGGCAGACATTAGGACACAGGTATTTTGTTTGTTTTTTGCTGTTTGTTTTTTAATGTGACTGGCTCTGCTGACAGCTGCAGTAGAGGATCAAAGGCCCTGCTCTCCACATCTTAAGGACCCTCACCATTCAGTAGGTAGCCCCTCCCCTGAGCCTCAGCCCTAAAGACCCAACTTGCTCCCCATTTAAAACAAGAATGAGCAGACTTCTCCTGGGTTCAGAATTCCGTGTAACGAAACCACAAAATGGAAAAAAGGAATCCCAACTGTTGCGCTTGTGCACAGCCTACAGACAAGACGGCAGTGCCCTCAGACAGCATTTCAAATACAGTTTATTAGTGTGTGATATGAAAAGGGTATTTTTATTGCATGATATAATGCAATGGGACCTTGGGCGCTCTGTGGAAAGACCTCACACTCAGAAGTGTAATGAACCCGTAGTCCCAAAAACATTATACTGTACATTAACCTATCATTAATGGCACATTAGGGCTAGGGGCATTGCACGCTTGCTGGTCAGGGCTCCATCAGGACAGTGTTGAGAAAACCACACAGTCTTCCCAGGCTTAAAACAAATAGAAAAAATAAATATTCCTGATGTCTACAGGCTGCTTTAAAGGAAGTTCAATCCAGCTCTGCCTTACAATTTCCAAGCCTGCTTTTTTAAGAGTGGAAGAAAGACACAAAACCAAACAAAGGGAAAAGAAAACGACTTTCTTGTAGTTTACCCCTGGCTATTGGCTATTCAACCTCAATGCTGCTCAACAAGGTCACGAGCCAACAGCACCTTGGTGGTGTAAAAGCTGCCCACAGACTGCAGAAGTGGGAAGGGGCCTTGGAAATTGTGTGTCCACCCCCTTCACTGTGTGGGTGGAAAAATCAATCTTCAACAAGATGAAGGAAGAGCCAACACAGTCAACAGAAAAACAGGCAAAGAATGTGAAAAAAATACATGTGGCTAATAAACATATGAAATAAATGTTCATCCTCATACTTAATAAAATAAACCAACTAGATCTTTTTTTTTTTTTGAAACAGAGTTTTGCTCTTGCCACCTAGGCTGGAGTGCAGTGGCGTGATCTTGGCTCACTGCAACCTCCTGGGTTCCAGTGATTCTCCTGCCTCAGTCTCATGAGTAGCTGGGATTACAGGGGCCTCCCATCACACCAAGCTAATATTTGTATTTTTAGTAGAGATGGTGTTTCAGGTAGAGACCATCCTGGCCAACACGATGAAACACCATCTCTACTTCAGCCTCTCAAAGTGCTGGGATTATAGGCATGAGCCACTGTACCCTGCCAACTAGATACCATTTTGCTACTGATCAAGTTGACAAAGATTAAAATCTGATAATTTAGTATCAGAAGAGATGAAGAGCTGACATTCTCATATCCAGTATATGAAGATGTATACAAAGAGACACAGTCACTGTCTTAATAAAAAAAAATCTGGAAATCGTCAAAATATTCTATGACAGAGTCTTGGATAAATAAATGATACATCCATAGTATGTATAAATAAATATACTCCATCCATAGTATGGAATATCATGCAGCCATTAAGAATGAGGTTGATCTTTATATTACAATGGAAAGACCTTAATGACATACCAAGTAAAAAAGCAAGGTGCAGAATAAAAATAATTAAAAATTCTAGGAGGACATATAAGCTACTATTAATGATGCTTATCTCTAGAGATTGGGGCTGGAGGATATGGGGGATTGGAAGGAGACTAATTCTTATTATATATCCTTCTGTACTGTGTAATTTTTTTTTTTTTGAGACAGGGTCTCCCTCTGTCACTCATGCTGGAGTACAGTGGTGTGATCATGGCTCACTGCAGCCTCAACCTCACAAGCTCAAGTGATGCTCTCACCTCAGCCTCCTGAGAAGCTGGGACTACAGACATATGCCACCATGCCCAGATCATTTTTAAATGTTTTGTAGAGACAGGATCTCACTGTGTTGCCCAGGCTGCTCTCGAACTCCTGGGCTAAAGTGATCCTCCTGCCTCAGCCCCGCCAAGAGCTAGAGTTATAAGCATGAGCCACCATGTCTGGCTGAATTTTTAATCATGATTTAAAAACTATTTTTAGCAAACAAATGACGACGGTGGCAGGAATAAACTTTGCTTGTGAGCCTATTATTTTCCAACTATGCTAAGTGCTTATGTGCTTCACCTTATTTGCATTTTCACAAAAACAAACAGTAAATTGGTCACTATTATCCCCTTTCCATGTAGTGGGTACTAGTTTCCAGGGTTGAAATAACTTGCTCAAGGTGACTCTTATTCATCTACCTTTAATAATGAAGCAGAGTATTTATAAAACACTTTCCAAACTTAAGACAGCCTGAGGCCACCTTCCTGGGGACAGCATGCATAACCCAGCAATGATTCAAGGAGGTGGGGGGAAGGCAGCACAAAAGGCTAACTTTAGCTGAGGCCGAATCAAATTTCTGGAAATATCTTATCTACATATAAAAAAAGGGGAGAAGGCCTGGGGACCCCAGAGCTATACATAAGTAAATAATGCTTGCAACCAGAAGCTCAAATATATAAAGGGAAGTAGTTCCCCTAATTAAATATGAATCCACATCAAAGGCAACACAATTGCAGTTCCATGAAGAGGCGAAGCTACCTCAGACCAGCACAATTTCATGGTGAGAGCAGGGGCTGAGAAGTATCTGCAACAGTTTCTACCCCTTAGGACCCTGCCGTGTCGAGAAAGTTTACGGTCTGTCTTCTCATTCCTCCATTTTCCCCCAATTTTATTAAAAGCCTTATTATTTTTGGGTAACAGACTGCAGTAACATTTTTAAATTCTAGATTTTATTTGTCCTAGGGTCTGCCAGCACATGCTGTAATTAAAATGTTGATTAGTAAACAGTTTAAATATATGACAGACAATGCAGTTAAAGCCTACAGTTAGGTCAATATGTGATTTAGATTTGCCATTTAAAAAAATCTCATTTAAATTTTGCATACATTAATCACTACCATACTTCAAGGTTCTGATATCCACCTGACTACAATATTAAAATAAAACTTGCTGCCCCAGGGAAATCCTACTTATTCTTAATTGTTTCAAGGCTTTGATGGGCTTTTAATCTAAGATTAATTTATGCAATTTTAAATAACTCTTCTTATGATTAATAAGCTTGAAAATTAAAAGGAGTCTAAAGCAATTATAATGAGCATTTGGTCATAACCTCATTAGAAGAAGGAGTGAAGGATACAGCTCTGGAATTCTTACAAGACTACAATTTAAGGTTACTTTTAGAGAAGTCAAACAGAGTTCCTGAAATTGCAAAGGCAGGTTAGCAAAGGTCAGTGTTAAAATGATGGCTAGCTAGATTAGCATACTAATGATTTTCCCTGATAGTGACAGAAAGGACACAGAAAAGAAGATGCAGAAAGAGAGACAAATGACATGCTGCCAAGCAGCTATGGGCTCTGAACCCAGTTTCCCATCCTTTTGGCTAGAGACCTTCGCAGAATTTGAGAAACGGCCGGAGGGCGAGGACATTCCTATTCGTGAATCAGCTTCAGCCAGAGGGTCTGGCCCACCTGGAGCAGGCAGAATCAGTCCTGTTGTCCACCTTGCCTGCCTCTCTGTCTACCATTGACCAGCCACTTTCCTGCTTAACAACCAACAAGAGCTTCCAACTGCCTCACTAGTCTCTGGTGTAGCCAGCCCTTCCAGATCACATTGGCCCCACGCAGCTAACTTCACCCCATCATTTGCAAGGGTGGTCTTTGCTTTGGCCAGGGTGGGTTCTTTACCATCCTCTGTGCCCTCTGGTCTCAGCCTGTGCTGTTCTCTCCCCAGAACGTCTTCCCTCTTGTTATTAGCAGTTGATGATGATGATGATGACAGTAAGAATGGTTACCACTTATTATTTACCACTAAGTGTCTAACATTTTGATCGCACTTAAATTTCACGCTTTGCAATACCCTATTTTTGTAGATAAGGAACCAAAAGTGGAGAGCGTTCAGTAACACACTACAGGCTGGACAGCTAGGAGAGGAAGGGAGACGGGGAGAGAGAGAAGCTGGCTGTCTGTTGTGCCACCACTTTCCAAGTTCCATACTCAGGCCTGAGCCAGGCATCCTCACTGTGGCCCCTTGGCCATTGTTCCCTGAGCTCCGGCACCACCCAAACCAGCAACTTGGCACTCTCCTGCCTTCTCTAAATGTTGCTGATGGGCATCTCTAGTCTGCTCCTGAGGATATAGATGTTTCTTATATTCTTTCTGAACCCAT